GTGTGTGTGTGTGTACATACTGTGTTTAGTCTAGGTTTTGTTGGTGGGTCAACTAAACAAGGTGAGAAAATGAAGAACATTTTGAATTTCTTTACTGTACCATCTTGTCTTACTGCCCCAAATATGGGCTACACCAGTGCCAATATGGCTGCAGTAAGTCGATATCGGCCTGGCCGATTTAACAGTCTGTCTCTATAAGCAACCATATAATAAACATTAATTTCAAAAGAGCTTCTGGATTGTTATTCTTGAGGCTTCCCAGATAATATGCTAGTATGTGTCTAATGTTGACCAGACATACAACAAAAATCTGATCCAACCTGCCAGTCAGCTGAACTGCTGGCAGAACATGCAAGTGGTTGGTAGAAATGCTTAAATCACCAAGTGTAATGTACTGAGTGGCTGGTAAAATCTGACCACTGAGTAGTCATTTGGCCAGTGGACCAAAAACAAGTGAATTTTGCACCCTGCTCATAAGAGAAGGCTTCATACATCCCATAGTATGTCAATTTCATGTCTACCGAGGCTGCCTCGGCCTAGATATCTGTGGCACTTCAAAGAAAAACAGCCTGCTTCCAAGTAAAGGAGCAAAGTAAAAGAGCAGAGCCTCCACACTGGCGAACAGAGGGGCTTTTGTGGCTCTCACATCTGGGAGGCTAGTTATGGTTTACCCCCCCGCCCATATCCCAAAGCCTTAACGCTAAGAGGCCCTGAGCTCGGGGAGGAAAGGGCCAGAAATAACCAGAATATGAGTCAAAATGATGAGACCCACTCCCACTTAACGGTGATGGATAAAACTGGGCACCAAATTAGGCCAACTCATCCGCCCTTTGTACCGCCGTTGAGTCATAATGCCTTAAAAACTGGAAACACAAGTTATCGAGTCTGCGTGTACAGTGATTGTAGGAAATATGGTGCAGGCCCGGTTCGGTTAAAGCACCCTGTTTAAACCCGAAACGGTGAAATGGAAAACCACTCTGCACGAGGAGCAAAAGGGGGGGGAAGAAAATCCTCCTCGTGCCTAACGGGACAACGTCAGCGCGGTGCTACACGCGCGTCCACAGACACATCGATGGATAAATACACTAACGGAGAAAACGGTTGCGCCACACCGTTTGGATAAAGTCACTACGTGGTGATAAGACTTTAAACTTTAATAATGTGGCTGTTCTATATGATATATGGGTTTATGGACGGGTGGGGGGGCAACTGAAGGGGGGTAAAAACAACACGATAAGATTCCTGCGCGTTCCTCCATCACCAAACCCAGTCGACACCGAGAAAACCCCACCAAAATGTGCAGCACGCCAGCGGAAGGATAACAGGCATGTGGTGGGAATGACAACAATTTTGCGCCCAACACGCAGTGAATTACGCACAAGCCCACATAATGCGACCAATTGTGACGCTTTAATTAGCGCTGAATGCTGCCAGCCTGTGCGCGTAAACTTAAAGTTAGCCCGTACTGAGCATTGAAACGACCGAGCCCTGCTTCTGCCACCACGGGCTTTTATCAGAAACGCTGGAATTCCATCAGCAGCTTTTAAAATGACCACCTCACCGTTTCAGCATACGCAAAAGTTAAACAGTGAGCTGTAAGTTGAGCCAATAAAGCACCGTTGTTAGCCAACGCTAAACAGCTACGTGGTGATGCTGCGTTGCCACGATTTGTTTGGGTTTTTTTTTTTTTTTTTTTTTTTTTTTTTTACCTTCAGTTGTGATTTAAGGTCCTTAAAGTTGTTCCAAGAGCTCTTCCTTCGTCGCCTCGTTATTAAAAGAAAGGCCTCCCGCTTCTTAATATCAAGCCATCCAGTCTTTTTTTTCCTGCGAGGAGCCCCGTGTCCTTCTCCAGTGGTGTGCTGTACTGCGGGGTGAGGACAAAGACTATTCCCAAATCCCCCCCCTTCCTCCACCTCCACCTCCTCCTTCTCCTCCCCTCTTTCTCCTCCCAGTTTCAGCCGGGCACCCCACCCCCCCAGCCCTGTCTGCGCAGAGTGGAGGAAAACGATCAACTGCCAGCATTCCTGATGCAATCCTTGCTTCGTCTTTCGGTTAAAAAACTTCACCCTGGACCCACAAGCCTGAGAATAACTCCGAGCCACCGCAAGCTGTGACACAAGACTGACTCAAGCAAAAAAAAAAAATGCATCCTTGTCTTCAGTGGAAAAATATATAGAAGTTGCTGGAAATACAGTGTGGTTTAGTAAGGCTAAAAAAAACACAACTTTGTAGTCATTTAATTGTCACACACAGAACCTTTATGGTGCTTCATTACAACCTACACACATTGCTCAGGGCAGCAGGCATTAGTCAACAAAGAGTACATGTGGTCTGTTAACTGGCATAACCTTTTGGTTGTGGAACAACATGCAGCCACTGATGAGTGAGTCCACCTCTTCCTGCTGATGCAGATGTTTGGAAGTTGTTGCTATCATGAGGCCACTTCCTCCATGTCACACTTTCTTTGGAAGGGTGGCACATGCCTCTCCCCAGCCCCCCCTCTCTCCCACCCTGAGCATCTCTCTTTGAAGCTACACCCCACACTTAATAATGTCCATTACCAGAAGACAAAGTAGAGTGAACTCTGTTTTAATCCAGGATTTATGTGCCACATTAGGGTTTTTAGACGAGGTCTGGAGCAGCGGTGTCATGAGTCAGTTGTCTGAACTCAGCACTAAGTGGACCCCCTCAAATATCTACCATCCACAGTCTGGTATTAGCCCTACACTCAATCAAAGGTGAGATGTCCTTTAATCAGTTGAATTTCCAGTAGCCTTACACTGCACTTTCCCTATAGAGGAGTGACTAAATGAGGTATGTGCAGTTACCCAGATTAAATATTGCAGGCATCCAGTCAGCGTCTGTCTCCTGAGGTAGTCACTCAAATTGAATGATCACATTGTTCTGCCCGGATCTCCTGAAATGCCCCTCTCCGTTGCTTACCCACCTCTCCGAACAAAATCGCAGACAAAGCAAGATCTACTCTACTTCCACATATTGCTTGTTGCAAACGGCGAAGAGCAGCGACTGCTGTGCTTTGTCTCATCGTTTTTTTTTTTTTGATATCTGTCCGCAGCTGGAGAAAGCCCATTATTACAAGCAGCAGTTATTGTTTAATATCTGCTGCAAACAGGAGGTCAGTGGAGGAATGCAATGCCCTTCCCCCTTCTTAGGGAGCAGCGAAGCTCTATTGTGAACCACAAGCATGCTTTTATTCATAGGGTGCAATGTGGGGTGCCCTGGTAAACCACAGTCCAAATGACAGAGACAGATAATCTGGAGACATCTCAGCCTCGTGGTATCTGCAGAACATGAGCTGAAGTTGCCTCTCTTTTTGCTAACAAAGAATACATTTGTGTGTATTTCTGTGTATTAATCTTTGATTATTCTTAATATTAATTTACTCTGATTGGGATTTTGAGCATGCATGTTTACAATTATAATAAAAAGATGAAAATAAATGGTTTACCCAGAATTCAATCGCTTATGAACACCACAAATTTACCATGTCTGTATTTATAAAGGACAACGTTGCTAATATCTCTGACCTGCTGTAATAGCCATTGACCCCAAGGCTGTTTTTCAGTTCCTTCATGGTCTAAAGTCAATACCATAGTTGTCATGTTCAGGACAGGAGTGGCCACTCAGAAGTGCCACAAATGGGAGTGGTGCTACACATGTTAGGATAGATTTTCTGACAAATATATACAGACGCAGTTTGCATTTCAGAGGGTTGGAGGGGTTAAAATAAAACCATTGCACACACTATTAGAAAACACGCTTGTTTTTCCTCCATCTTCCATCCACACTAATCTGACACAACCAAAAACCTTTTCAAAAACACGCTCCAGCATATAAATATTTCAAAACAGCTCTTCAGTGTTGATGGAAAAACTTATCTTTGTGTAAATACTGATCTATGCTGTACAATCTGTCTTGGCCCGCTTGCTCAAGTGGCCTGTGATTGCTCAATAGAGGAGACATAACCATCCATCTATTGTTGTGGTGTTCCAGTGTGGGCGTTTTTAAGTTTTTAAAAACATAAATAGCCTTTTATGATTCACCCACTTTGACGTGGATATTGTCTAACACTACTCGTTTGTCGCTGCCTTCTATACTTCTCAATGCTACTTCGGTTCCTGTTTTACTGCAACAAATATGTCTTGACCGGCTGCTCTTTGTGACTGCTTATTAACTGACATGTTTTCCTTCGTGGTGACAGCCCCACAGATATGATGTTGCAACAATCTCCAGGGAGGTGAAAGGGCTTTGCACAAGAGTTGCCCTCTTGTTTGCTTCAGAACCTGACCCACAGTGAATCATCCCCTTGTGATGTTTGCTTTCCTGCCACAGACAGTCAAAGACACACACACACACACACACAAAAAAAACACACTTTTGATAAAAGCCTACAACTAGTTTTGTGCCTGAATGCTTGTGCAAGTTCTATTAGTAACACCATAAGGTTCCCCTTCAAGCAGAAGTGGTCTTCTCCTTTGTCAGCAGAAGGAGTTGAAATGCTTCCATGAAGATGTAAAAAATATGGCTCACTCTACAGCCCTTTTCTTACAGCTGTGCTTCCTCAACTATCCTTCACAGGAGACAATGTGCGTATTCATCACCATGTTACAAATCTGACGGGTTTTTCTTTCTCTATATATTAACACCAGCTTTGCAGAGTAGAAGAAACACACAGGCAAACACATGCTAAGCTATAGTCATGTTAGGGTCTTTGAGTTAGAAGAAATGCTTGCATGCTCTTGCTGGTTTTAATCTTTTAACTTGCATTCTTGAGGCAGTCTCCTTGCCAACACATCCAGGAAAATGCACAAGGGCACTACACATTTTATTTTACTGGCATTAGTACAAGGTTAACCTGGCAACCGTCCAAGATGACTTTAGAAAAATGACCAGTCGTTTCTTCGTGGGGAAAAAAAGAGGAATTCCATCCTCCTGCAACCTAGCTGTCAACTGAAACTTTTTTTCCTAGTATTAATTGTCTTGTCATTTTTACAGTTGCTTTTTTCAACCCTCCATACTTATGTAAATGCAATCCTTTCTCAGAAAGTCAAACTTAAAGTTCAGGTAGCAAACATACCTGCACCTGTAAGGTTTCTGGCAATTTTTCACAGGACACAGAGTAATTAAGTTCAGCAGTGAACCTAGCCCGCACTGCTACATTTAATTCACAGTACAACAGAGAAGTTGAGTTTCCTGCCAGCAAGACTAATGCTTTCCATCTGTGTGTTGTTTAGGAGTCCGTGTATCCCAAATAGTGCCTAATAAGGTTCTTCCTCAACTCCGACTCAGTTTAACCCCAAAACATACCCCACAACACAGATACACAAGGATTGGACTTGCTGTCATTGATTGACAAGTTGATCTCACATACTGCACTATATCACAACAGAATAAAACAGTATGGACAATAAAATGTGCGTACAGGTCTAAAATACTCAACATTTGGCATCTTGTGGCGCTGTATTTCACACCCACAGTCCCATATATCCAGAGGTGTTTCTGAAAAGGAAAGTCAGTGTAATTACTATGACCACAAATTGCTTATGAAAAAATAAAAAAAAACTTATGAAGTCTGTATTTTTAAAGCCAAGAACAACTGAAAAGTCTGACGTTTATAGTGTGCTCCAAACACCATCAGTCCTCAGTTTATAATATGTACTGTATTATATATAGAAAGTTGGCTCCATTTTGAAATAGGGGCTTTGTGGTGGGAGGGGATTGAAAACATTCTTCTGTGCAGTCATTGAATTTTTCTGTCTGGTTTACTGCCCCTTCCTTGCTGCTTTACTGCTTGCTCTTCCTTCCTATTTCTGCCTATCACCCCACTTCTGGGATAATCTGCAGAGAGGGACAGGGTGACTAAGCAAGGGGTAAAAGGGGGTGGGTTGGCTTAATTTGCAAGGTCACCTTCTGCATGGGGGAAGGGGACTGAAATTCTCAACTGTTAGGCTGCTAGTATTGTTGGTTTGCACCTATATGGTTGTCTTTCCAGTGCTATAATTCCCAAAAGCATCTAATGCATCTTTGTAATACCATCTTTGTTTCACTAAATAGACAAAAACGTGTCTACGGGTTAGATCCTTTTACGAAAACCCCTTCTGTCTGTCAGTCAACACCAGCACCCCTCAGTAGCATGGACTGGGTACAGTTGAAACAGACTGCACATGGGACACACACAAAAGAAACCTCAGTGCTTATAAGGGAGGAGGGGTACAGAGTTACCATGGAAACAGACAGCCCTACCCCCGTAGCAGATGGTGGTGGTGAGGGTATCGGGGGCTGGGAGTAGTGATGGCGGGACCCAGAGATGATTATCTATCACAGGTTTGCGTCCTGAAAAAACAGCTTATGTTCATCTTGTCAAAACAGGTGGCTTCTGCTTGTGTTAAACTGTTGGTTAATGTAAGAGGAAGGCTTTGTTCTGTGGGTTACAGAACAATATAAATTATCACTCAGATCAAATTCAAAGCATTTGCAGATTTG